ATGAGTTGGAACCAACTCCACAGCACATAAACCAACCAAAACTACAATTTAAATGCATGATTCTTCTCCAGGCGTCCTTATTTGTTATGTAACTTTCACATGCAAATGAGATGATTGAAGGATGATCTTAGTCCTCAAACCGTCTGTCCTTCATATAAAGTAGTATATATTAGAAACAAAACCAACAACTACGGAGCATAGTTTTACTCTGTCACACATGAGGTTTCCATGAGTCAGAACTGAGTAAAAAAAAATCTTCACCATTCACTTCAGGCATCTCTCCTACTCCTTGAATATTTCTCTTCTCAAGAGAAACAAACTATTGAAAATTTTTCTTTTATATACTGAGAAACAAAAGCTACAAAAGGCATCTTTGAATAAATAGTTTGAGGAATGGAAGGTGGGCTGTATATGGGATATAATGGAATTATTAATTTTCTTAGGTGTTATAACAGCAGTGTGATTACATAGATAAACGTCCTTATTTTTATGAGTTGTTATTGCTGTTGTTAAGTGCCTTTGAGTCAGTGCCGACTCATAGCAACCTTGTATAGGGCTTCCAAGGAGCAACTGGTGAGCTTGAACCACTGACCTTGTGGTTCAAAGTTACCTTGCAGTCCAGTGCATTAACCCACAGTGCCATACTAGGACTCCATTTTTATGAGATGTGTACTGAAATATTTAGGGGTGAGGTGTCAAGATGGCTTCAACTTACTTTCAGATGGCTCAGAAAAGAATGTGTGTGTATATATATGTGTGTGTGTGTAGATACAGATGATAGATACAGACACATAACACATATACATGTATACATACATATGTGTACACACAAATTTATGTATGTGTGTGAGAGAGAAAGAAAATATGGCTAAATATTTTTCTTGTGGAATCCATTCCAACTCATAGCGATTCTGTATAGGGTTTCTAAGAAACAGCTGATGGATTTGAGCCACAGGCCTTGTGGTTCAAACCAACCTTGCCTTCTAGTGCTTTATCCTACAGTGCCACACTAGGACTCAATGGCTAGTATTGTGATGGTTAAATGTGATGGTAAAACAATATTCACTATTGTTTTATGAATATTTTTGTATATTTAATTTTTTTCAAATAAAAAATTAGGGAGAGGGAAGGGCAATAACAGGCATAGAAATCACTGCTGTAAAGTCTCAGTTTCCCCCTCTGGGCTCTGCCTGAGTGAGAAGTCACTCAGTACATTCAGTAACCTCACACTGTATTGATCAAGGTAATGAGGTGTTGTTGTTATGTGCCATCGAGTCGATTCCCATCCATAGCAACCCTGTATAGGGTTTCCAAGGAGCAGCTGGTGAGCTTGAACCACCAACCTTGCAGTTCAAACGACTTTGCAGTCTGGCACATTAACCCACAGCCCCATACCAGGACTCCCAAGGTAATGAGGTACTGTCATGTTAAATCCAGGCAAGTCCCCTAAACCTATTTGGAAGGTGTTCTCCACAGCCATTCTTTAGTTGTGTGATTAAACTGGTGATTCTTAAAGCCAGAAACATGACATCTTGCCTCTGATTTACAGTTTGAAGAATAATATTTATCTATAGCAGAAGCTGGTTTTAAAATCCTCATTTGTCTTTGTATCATTATCAGGTATCCAGCAGATGTCACTGTTACAGTCTGTGTTCTGTTTTTGGCTTAACTGAGTCATGTTTATGGGAAGGCTCAGTTTGGGGCAATGGTTTATCAATAGCTTCATGACAGTTCCTATTAGTTTGTTGCTATGCATAGCACTAAATCAAGTTTCCTGCTTATGTATTTTTTTATGGATGTATTTTTCTCTATAAAATACAGAAATTTCCTGGTTATATATTTCATTATATTACCTGCAGGAAATGCAAATGCTTATATAGATAAATGTACTTTTTAAAACCAAGAATGCTACATATGTATTCAACTTTCAATCTGAAAAAATAGGACTTAGATAATTTCCAGTGAGTCTTTCAAAGTATTTCTTGACCACCTTAGTAACCAAACACTCCATCACTGAACTTTAAAATGTTCTAGAGTAAAACATCTATGAGTCAGATGTATCTTGGCCAAAAGCAGAAAATACCAGAAAGATTTACTTGTGTTTTATTCACTATGCAAAAGCATCGGACTGTGTGGACCATCACAAATTAAAGATAACTTTGTGAAGAATGAGAATTCCAAGACATTTATTTGTGCTCATAAGGAACCTGTACACAGACCAAAAGACAGTCATTAGAACAGGGGATACTGAATAGCTGAAAATCAGAAAAGGCGTGTGCCATCGTTGTATTCGTTCACCATACTTTTTCACCATACTGTATGCTGAGCAAATAATCCAAGAACCTGGGTAATACGAAGAAGAACATGGATGTATTTTTCTCTATAAAATACAGAAATTTCCTGCAATGTGTAGATGACACAACTTTGCTTGCTGAAAGTGAAGAAGACTTATAATACTTACTGATGACAATCAAAGACTACAATTTTCAGTATGGATTGCATCTCAATGTAAAGAAAACAAAAGTCCTTACAACTGGTTCAATAAATATTATCATGACAAACAGAGAAAAGGGAAATTGTTAAAGACTTCATTTTGCTTGGATCCACAATCAATGCCCATAGAAGCAGCTATCAAGAAATCAAACGATGTATTGCATTAGGTAATTCTGCTGCACAAGGCCTCTTAAAAGTGTTAAAGAGCAAAGATGTTACTTTGAGGACTAAGGTGCATCTGACTCAAGTCGTGGTATTTTCAAATGACTCACCTGTGTATGAAAGTTGGCCAATGAATAAGGAAGATCAGAGAAGAATCGATGCATTTGAATTGTGGTGTTGTAAAAGAGTACTAAAAGTACCATGAACTGCCAGAAGAACAAATAAATCTGTCTTGGAAGAAGCATAGCTGGAATACTCACACGTATTTCGGACATGTTGTCAGGAGAAAGTAGTCTCTGGAGAAGGATATCATGTTTTGATAAAGTAGAGGGTCAGTGAAAAAGCAGAAAACCCGCACAAGATGGAATGGAACCGTGTAGCAACAATGGGCTAAAAAATAACAATTATGAAGATGGAACAGGACTTGACAGTGTTTATAATCCATTGTGCATAGAGTCGCTATGAGTTGGACTGATTTGAAATCGGGCTGTGAACCAGCAGTTCCGCAGGAGAAAGATGAGGCTTTCTGCTCCCATAAGGATTTACAGCCTCGGAAACCCTGTACAGGGTCGCTATGGGTCAGAACCGACTCCACGGCACATAACCAACATCAACAACAACAGGAAGTCTTTTAATGATGTCCTCCCGATTACTTCATAAGAACCACATTCACAAAGGAGTCTCTAGGTGGTGCAGACAGTTAATGTGCTCAGCTACTAACCAAAAGGTTGGAGGTTGGAGCCTACCCAGAGGCACCTCAGAAGGAAGGCCTAACAATCCACGAGGGTGAGTCAAAACATATCTGCACTTTGGGTATATTCAAATGCCATCCACATCCACAGCCGATGACAACATTGAGCATGCATGTGAAATGATTCTATCGAAAAGATGAGTGACAATGGATTATGTGGCAAATCAGCCATGGCTCTCTGCCTATGGTATAATCCACGACAGACTTGAGTTTCGAAAAGTTTGTGTGAGGTGGGCACCCAAACAACTCATGGAAGAGCATAACCAGAAGTGTCTGGACATCTGTAACAAAATTTAAACCGATAACTCAAAGGAAAGTAAAAGTCTCTTTAAAAAAATCATTACTGGTGATGATTCATCACTACGAGCCTGAGAGTAAATGGCAGAGTATGGAATGCAAACATCCTCAATCACAAACCAAGAAAACATTCCAAAGTCAACCACCCGCTGGAAAATTGATGCTTGCAGTTTTCTGGGATTCTCAAGGGCCAGTATTGGAATACTATCAGGAAAAAGGTTCAATAATTAACAGTGCTCGTTACAGTGAGATGCTGACTGATGAGCTGAAGCCTAAACTCCCGATTAAATGCAAAGGACTTCTATCCAAGGGCATTGTGGATAGCATGAAAATGTACATCCTCACACCTCTGCCCACATTGTGGACACTCTGAAAAAACTTCATTCTGAGGTGTTAAAGCATCCTCCCTATAGTCCTGATCTTGTTCCGTTGAACTTTCACCTGTGTGGTCCCCTGAACAGCTTTCAAGGACAAAGATTCACCTCTGATGAAGAAGTGAAGACAGCGGTACATTTATGGCTCACAGCTCAGCCTAAAACATTTTTTAATAAGGGACTACGAAAGCTTGTTAGATGGACAAAGTGTATTTAAAATCACAGAGATTATGTTGAAAAATGATGTATTTGTCTTTTCTAAAAGTTGACTAAAATAATTTCTGCAGCCAGAGAGCAGTTAATTTTCATCCTCATACTTCTGAAAAGTCAGCCAGTGAAAACCGTATGAAGTACAGTTCTACTCTGAGACACATGGGATTGACATGAGTCGGCATTGACTCAGTAGCTACTGAGTTGATATTAAAAGGAGGCGAAGAAAATATCTCTCTTGCGTTGAGGAAAGGTCTGTTAATTTGGGAGCTGGTATTAGTTACAATCAAAGGCTAAAGTGCTTTAAAGAACAAAAACCAGTTCTTTCTTCCATAACGATTTCAGGGTAAGTGGTTCAGGTCACAGAGCATTTCCTATCCATCATTGGTCAAAGGTATCCTCATCAACAGTCTAGTGAAAACTGGATTTCTGGGAGTTTCAGTCAACAATTATGGTATAGACAGTATGAAGGAGACATGCTTAAGGTCTGGGTCCAGAAGTGGCCCTCATTATTCTGCTTGCACCATTGGTAAATTTAGTTACAGGGTCATCCAAACTGCAAAGGAGGTTGGGAAATTTATCTAAACTGTATGCACAGGATACAAGGGTGGGAATAGACTTTGGCGCACAATTGACGGTTTCTATCACAGGACTAGTGTTTCCTTGGTCTCGTTGGCAGTGACGTTCAAACATGGTGTTGATGTCCTTTCCAGGAAGTGCACTCAGTGTACAGAATTTTGGCTGGGATTTTGAATATTGGAAACATTGAATTTGCAGCCATTTCCTCTCAACATCAGACTGATAAAAGTGAGATTCCCAATACTGAAGCTTTGAAAAATGGTAAGTATTTGATACCTATTCACTCTGTGTTACCAAAGTGCACATTTCTTTCACTTTGGTGGTTTTTCAAGACTATTAAACACAGTGTGACCATCGCTGTTCCTTTGACTGACGGGAGGCATTTTCACTGATCAGTATTTCCCAAAAGATGTCCTGTGGCATTCCAGTGTTCTCTTCATAGCTGTAAATGTCTGCAGAAGAGAATCCCATGGCAGGGAACTATGGGCACTGGTTCTCAAGCCTGGCTGTTTTTGAAAATCATCTGTGAACTTTTGAAAATTAAAGAATCCATTGAATCAGCATCTGAAGGGAAGAAAGCAGACCCCTATTTACTTTTAAGCTCCATAAGTAATTACAGTGGCATAAGGAATGAGAATCCTGAGCTAGGAAAACACAAAAACAAACTAACCAGATTTCAATAAAGTAAAAATTTTTATGTAAAACTGCAGGTATAGGGCCTTTAGTATACTGATGGAGTCCTGATGTGGTGCTGTGGGTTAATGTGACAGACTGCAAAGCCATTTGAACTGGAAGATCAGTGGTTCAAGATCACCAGCTGCTCCTTGGAAACCCTACACAGGGTTGCTATGGGTCGGAATCTACTCGAGGGCACTTCACAACAACACAACAGTATTCTGATAGGCTTTATGCGTCTCTGAGAGGAGACTATGTTATTGTGTGCTGTTGAATTGATTGTGACTTATAGGCAACCCTATATGACAGTACTGATGTGGTGACGTAGGATAAGCACTGGGCTGCTATTTGCAAGGCTGGCGGTTCAAGCCCACCAGCTGCTCCTTAGAAACTTTATACAAGCTTGTTAAGAGTCGGAACCGACTCATAACGGTACTTAAAAACAATACGACAGAGGTGAACTGCCCCAGAGGGTTTCCCAGGCTGTAATTGTTAGGGGAGCAGCTCACCAGGTCTTTTCTCCTAGAGGTTCTAGAGGTTCTAATTGCTGATCTTTCCACTAGTGCCTGAGTGCTCAACCATTGTGCTACTTGTTGTTGTTAAGTGCCATCGAGTCGGTTCCGACCCATACTGACCCTGTATAAGGTTTCCAAGGAGAGGCTGGTGAGCTTGAACTGCCTAACTTGTTGTTCAAACAACTTTGCAGTCCAGCGCATTAATCCACAGCACCATAATCCATAGCAATTCTGCCAATTTATTTGACCGAAGACCACTCTCAAACTGCTCCCCCACTCCCTTTTTATTTTACATCAAACACCTATGAAAAGCTTTCAGGACCATTTGGGAGATACTGCATCAGTTTGGATGGGGTTTGGGACCTAGTTTGTTTGTCATTAACTTTTAAGTCCCTAGGATGGACCCTGGCACATCGTTATTCAGCGACATCTTTCTCTTTGTTCCAGCTGCCTCGGTTCTCTGCATCAGCCCCAAAGAGCTCAAGGAGGCCCTCACCTCTCACTGTGTGGTTACCAGGGGCGAAACGATCGTCCGTGCCAACACCGTTGACAGGGCCACAGAGGTACGGGATGCCATGTCCAAAGCCTTGTATGGGCGGCTCTTCAGTTGGATTGTAAACCGCATCAATACACTCCTGCAGCCAGACAAAAACATATGGTGAGTTCTTGCAGGAATCAATGGCGTTGGGGAGCATTCATCAACCCTGGTGTCTCTAAGAGATTGCAAGAGGAAGCATTTGGTCCTCTTCTGGGTTTTCTCTAGCAAAATTCTCAGACTTAATTCTTTAAAAGATGTGATAGGATGCAGGAGAGCTGGAATCTTTGTACCTGAAAAGTGAACTATGTTGTTGTTGTTAAGTACTGTGGAGTCGGTTCTGACTCATAGTGACCCTGCACAGGGTTTCCGAGCCTGCAAATCTTTACAGGAGCAGAAAGCCTCATCTTTCTCACGCGGAACAGCTGGTAATTTACAACTGCCGACCTTGAGTTTAGCAGCCCGATTCGGAACCACTACACTACCAGAGCTCCTTGAAAAGTGTACTATAGTGTGGGTTTAAGAGAACAGACTCAGTTGGAAGCAGAGGTAGACAGACTGGGTTCAAATACATGCTCTACAGCTTAACTAGCTATATGCTCTAAGTGACCGTTCTCTCAACTGTAAAATGGGAATAATAATAATCTCTTCACAGAGTTGTTTTTTAGGCTCAAAGGAGACATTTTATGGAAAGTTTTACAGGACAATATCTTACATAATTATTGCTTTTTTTCTTTCCTAAGCATAAGTGGTGTCTCATATGTGGCAAAGTAGACAACATCGAATTATAAAGAATATTCTTCCCACAAAGTTTTGTAAGCTGTTGTTGTTGTTAAGTGTTGTCAAGTCAGTTCCAACCCATAGCAACCCTGCTTAGGGTTTCCAGGAAGCAGCCGGTGAGCTTGAACCACTGGTGAGCTTGAACCGCTGACCTTGCAGTTCAAACCGACTTTGCAGTCCAGCACATTAACCCACAGTGCCACCCCAGAACTCCTTTGTGAGTAGGGAGGTAGAAGAATGAATGGACAGAAATTCTAGTCCCAGCATCACTAGAGCTATTCTTCTTTCATCTGCTTCATATATGGATCTTCTGAGAAAGTGTTAAAGAATCCTGCTTAAAACAAAAGAAGTTGAAAGTACTGTTGAAAGATGAAAGGGATGAATGGTTTACTAAGTGTTTCTTTTTTTAGGGGTGGTGGGAAGCTACTTTCCATGAGCGGGTGCAGGTGCTGATAAACACACAGGCATGTAGATTCTTGTCACTCTGAGGTGTTTCCTCTCCTGCCAGACTTTTATTCTTCTCTCTCATTCAACAGTGCAGACGATGGTATGAATGTGGGCATCTTGGATATTTTTGGATTTGAGAACTTTTGGAGAAATTCATTTGAGCAGCTCTGCATAAACATCGCCAATGAGCAAATCCAGTACTATTTTAACCAGCACGTTTTTGCTTTTGAGCAGGTAACAATGAACCCTTAAGTATTGAACCTGATGGGGAACGCTTCTCCCTTGATTTGTACCAGAAACCCTGTTAGACAAGCCAACAGGTACAAAACTCTAGAGAAAAGCCGCTGGTGAGGCAGTCTTGTCAAAATAAATAGGCAGTCTAAATTTAGTCTGAAAAATTGAGGTCTTGATTTCTGTGGAGAAGGTACATTTCTTCACTTGAGTGGAGCCAGTGACAAGCCAATTATTTAAATCTTGTTTCCAAACGGTTTCATGCATATTGCCCACAATGCTGTATTCTCTTCTACTTTACTTAACTAAAAACCATCTGAGATCATGTCTAAAATGACACCAGATGATCTTGAATTCAGAACATAGTTTTTTTGTTGTCCTTAACTCTGGATCCGTCACCCCCATCCCCATCTCCTAGAAATGAGAGTCTTTCATCTGTGAGTTTAATGATAAACAACACAGATTGTGAAGCTAGTGGACCCAAAAGTTTGGGCTGTTTCTTCAGCAACCACAGCCTGCCTAACAGTCTTCACCACTCCAAGACTTTCTCTCGTGACCAACTCCCACAAGGCAGAAGCAAATGTTTTAATGCAAGAATGAAGACACACAAACTATAATGCACTTAGATGAACAGCAAGGCATTGAGTGAAAATACAAGAGTTGGTTTTTATCACTATTGTTGTTAAGTGCCATCCAGTCGGTTTCAATTCATAGTGACCCTGTGTAGTGTTTCTGAGGAGCAGTTGGTGGGTTTGAACCCCTGACCTTGCAGGTAGCAGTTCAATGCTGATCCTACAGTGCCAGACCAGGATATGACACTCTTCGCCCCACCTGTCTGACACAAAAGTTCACCTTGTATCTGTCTGGGATCCTTCTATTTGACTCCTTGGGAAATGTGGAATTCTTTTTCATTTTCCAATTTAAGATGATTCCCTTGCAGAAGATAAGGGTTTCCTTCCTGGTTTAATTCCTATTTACCACCAAAATATATTTTTTCAACTTCCCTTCTTTTCTGCATTAAATGTGAGTCTGTGTTTGGGAGGCAGAGAGCCATCCCTTCTTTTGCCAGCTTGGACTGTTTGCCAAAAGCCTCCAGTAGGACAGACAGACTTCAAACCAAGGTTTAATAAACACATGAAACACTCCGTTTCCCACATGCATTCAGTGTTACCATATCGAGGAAGTTCATGTCATAGCATCCTGAGGGTACCTACTTAGGCCAGTTTGGGGCTGGAGAGATTCACAATCCACTTCCCTTCAGATGGAATACCAAAATGAGGGCATTGACGCTACAGTCGTGGAGTATGAGGACAATCGCCCACTCCTAGACATGTTCCTTCAAAAACCTCTGGGACTACTGGCACTTTTGGACGAGGAAAGTCGGTTTCCCCAAGCAACTGACCAGACCCTGGTTGGTAAGTACCTATCTGAACAGGAGAACAGAGCTTGGCTGATATTTATTAAATGGATGTGGTTTAACACATTTACTTATTTTGATCACCTGGTTGGCTATGAAAGTGCTGATGCTATCTTGTGGCCCTGAGTTGACTCTGACCCATGTGTTACAGAGCAGAACGCCTGCATGGGGTTTTCTTGGCTATGGTTTTTACGAAAGTAGGCCTTTTTGTCTGTGGTGCTACTAGGTGGGTTTGAATTGGGAATTTTGTAGTTACCAGTTGAACTCAAATCAAATGTAAAACACTCAAAGGCCTATGAAAGCATAAAATTTGTTTTTAATGAATTGAAATAATCAGCAAAAGACCATCCCCAACTCTTTCTCACCCTTCTATTTCTGCCAGTCCAAGTATCATGACCCTAGTTGCTGAGCTTTTCATATCTGTATCATTTTTATGCCTTCCTCTCCCTAATTTCCCATGAGTATTTCTTGTCCTGCTTTTGGTGCACTTTTCTTAGGCTGGGTCCTCACCTCCTTCTAGTTGGAGATAAACTCAAAGACCCCTCTGGTCATCCTGTCTGTAGTCTCATACTTTCCCTTTCCACCCTGTAATCCCAGCTACTTTCATCTTTCTAAAGTCACCTCTTTATTGTTGTGTTGTTAAATGCAGCCAAGTCTGTTCTGACTCATTGCGACCCTGTATAGGGTTACCAAGAGCATCTGTTAAGTTTGAACTGCTAACTTTGTGGTTAGCAGTTCAGTGCCTGTCCTACAGCACCATACCAGGGCTTAGCCTTCAGTGCCAAACCTTCTCATTGTTGTTATTGTTAAGTGCTGTTGTTGAGTTGGTTCCAATTTATAGTGACCCTGTGTAGGGTTTTCAAGAGAATCTAATGTGGTTAGCAGTCCAGTGCTCATCCTACAGTGCCACACCATGACTCCAACCTTCTCATAAGGTTACTGTTATCCTGTATATGATAAATATAGGATGCCAACACCTGGCATCAAAGGCCCTTTATACACTACCCCTGTTCCTCTTGACTGCCTTCATCCTCTTGAATCTTCAGTATTTTATAGAATCCTTATCTCTCTGATAACCAAACGGTTGGAGCTTTGAGTCCACCCGGAGGTGCTTCAAAAGAAAGCCCTGGCAATCTATTTTTGAAATAACACAGTCATTGAAAACCTTATGGGATACAGTTCTACTCTGACTTGGGGTTGTCAGTGAGATGCAGTCAACTTGGAGCTCCTCACCTAGGTGTGAGATGCTTGGGTCAAAGAAGCCCAATCCTTGCATCTCTTTAATGCTTAGCACAGTTACACACACACACACACCTCGCAATCACAATAGCAATAATAGCAAAAATTGTTTGTTGAGGGAGGGACAAAAACTTTGAAGCTTTTTGCCCAGATGGGAAAGTTGATTCCTGGGAGAGAACCCCCTTCTCAGACTTGAAATGCCCCCCTCTCCCACCCCCCAGTAGTTTCCTTTTATTTATAAAATTGTCACAAGTTGCTTGGAATCAATTAGTATAATGGACCAATGGAACACATAAACAGACTCTAAGACCAGAAGAACTAGATGGTCCCCAACTATTACTACCAAGTGCTCTGAAAGGATCACATTAGAAGGTTCTGGATAGAGTGACAGAAAATATGCAACAAAACTCAAAATTATAAAAAAGATTGGACTTAATGGTCAGAAAAAGACTGGAGGAACCTAAGACTATGACCCTCGGTCAGCCGTCAGGTCTGAAGTGAAACTCATCCTTGTGGCCCAATTTTTAGCCAAGCAGTAGATGGGTAGATGTTGTTAAGTGCCATCGAGTCGATTCTGACCCATAGCAACCCTGTATAGGGTTTCCAAGGAACAGCTGGTGAACTTGAACCACCAACCTTGCCGTTCAAACTGACTTTGCAGTCTGATGCATTAACCCCCAGCGCCACATCCAGGACTCCAGACAGCCGGGGACAAAAATACTAGTAAGGTGTGCTCTCCATGGAAGAGGCAACCATTCAGAATCAAAGGAAAACAATTGCCTAAGGACAAAGTTCGGGAAGGTTGGGAAGGAGTGTGGAATGCAAATGAGACCCACAGGGAGGAAGTGGAATACCTTGTCTGGAGGGAATTGCAATTCTTGAGAAATAAAGCATATGATTTGTTGAATGTAAAACTGAAGATCTGCCCTGTAAACTTTCATTCAATTCACAATAAAACATTC